CCTTTTCATACTTTTTGTTTTAAATCTGTGGGGTTTTTTGTCTTGTTGCATTTTTTCCTCTGCTTGAAGATATATTTATTATTCAAATATAAAAGTGACTTAGGAAAGAACATCCTAAAGTTTATTTAGAAATTCACCAAGCCCATACTAATGCATCTCTAATGGGGACATTTCTTTCCACACCTCTAAGGTGATTGAGCCTGTCCTTTAAAGTGAGATTTGCAAACCAGTGTCTGGCAGCTCCAATTAGCTTCTTTTGGGTTTGAAGCACATCCCAAACAGTAACAAGGTCTCCTAGGACACTACTCTTGCAAGCAATGTAGTCATATTTCCTCATTAGTTCTTTTCAATTGTCACTAATGCCATGTTCCAGCTTTTGAGTAGGAGACAAAAAACATAAAAATTTGTTATGTATGTAGAATGGGCCATTGTTTTCCATAATTCAAGGCTCTTTTGAATTCCTTTGATAGTTTTGAAGCTTACACAGCTTAATTCATTAACCTTTACCCTTCACATAAATCAGGTGATTAGGAGTCTATTGCTAAGGAGACAGATTTTCCCTCCACTGAAACTAAGTAAATGCCTTCTCAAAAAAAATTCCTGTATAGCTGACAAAAGTAACCTTTTTGTTGCTTTTCAAATTTCATCAGATATTTCAGGTGCATTTTAGAACATTATCAAAAGCAAGTGAGCATAACATTGCATTATTATAAATAATAATTCTGGATGCTTTGGATACTTTGGAGCAGGTTTTCTTATGCTTTTTGGAGTTCTAGAAGAGTTTATATGTATATATGTATGTATACACACACACACACACACACACACATACACACACACTCAACAACTGTTACTCAAGAATTTACAATGGTTGCAATTTAAAAAAAATTTCTTCAGGGGCACCTGAGTGGTTTAGTTGGCTAAGCGTCTGACTCTTGATTTCGGCTCAGGCCATGATCTCAGGCTTGTGAGATGGAGCCTGCTTAAGATTCTCTCTCTCCCTCTCCCTGTGCCCCTCCCCACTCCCTCTTGAAAATAAATAAATAAATAAATAAATAAATAAATAAATAAATAAAAGTCTCTCCCTCTGTAGCACCCTCCCCTCACCCCATGTTCTCTTTCTCTCAACAACAACAAAAATTTTTTTCTTCTGAACCCTGTCAAAGAATAAAAGAAGAAAATAATTTGAGGGGAGGCAATTCAGAATAAACTAAAATATATTGAACCTAGGACATTGGATTTGGAGAAAGTCTTCATATAAGGCTTCATGTTATAGAGAATGAGAATATGGGGTTTCAAAGGAGGCAGGTGGTTCTATGTTTCATGGAGGTGAGAATAGAGTGGATTTCTCCAGATTTTTTTATTCCTTCTTGTGAAGATACATCTCACTTTGTTTCTCAGAATTTGGGAAGATAGTTTAGTAAGCTTGTGTTTGACATTCATGGGCTAGTCTAAGAATATTTGATTTTCTGCAGTTTTCCACTATGCCATTTTCCCATTATTAATTTCTCCTTAATAATCTTATAGATTGTTACTTTCCCTAAGGATATAGTTCTTTTCCCAAGTTTTAGAATTCTTTATGTTGGCATGCATAAAATGAGAAATCTTTGAATGTACTGACCCATGGAGGATGTCAGTCATATGATATTCTGAAGTTTGTCCTTAGGGATAGTGGGAACAGGGGTGAAGAATGAGAAAAGTTTGAATTCTAGATTCTGAGTTTAGGGACTCCTGGCTTATCCCTAGGGACAAAACTATAATTTATCATTGAGATTAATGGATACTCTCCTATGCATTATCTGTGAATAGGAGAGGGGATGGAGAAACAAAGGTTTTAAACGTGGCCTTTGATTCTTTCACTCTCCTTCTTTTCTTTCTTTCTTCTTCTTCTTTTTTTTTTTAAGTAGGCTCCATACCCAGCGTGGAGCCCGATGTGGGCCTCAAACTCACTCCTGTGAGATCAAGACCTGAGCCAAGATCAAGAGTCAGACGCTTAACTGACTGAGTCACCTAGGCACCCCTTTTACTCTCCTTCTTAAAGATTATATCACTTTACAAACAATTCTCTATTTTATTGGTACCATTTAAAAAATACCCTTTAAAAACTTACATAAGTACCTATCGTCAAAAAGTTTCAATAATTACTAAGCTTTACCACCTTGTTTGTTGCCTGCATTCCTACTATACGGTGAACTGGGAAATGCTCTGATGTTAATAACACTAAAGGTCATGACTAGAGCCAAGACTCTTTTAAAACAGAGAATTATTTAGAGTAAATGCAGTCCACAGACCAGAGTTATGTTCATGTACTTCCCGTAAATACATACTATAATGGACTCCAAAAGTTTCAGGAGGAAAGGATAGTCACCATGCAGGCCTCTTGTCAAGACGTGCTGTCACTGCAGGCTGCGTGGGAGGTAGACCTGGACTAGCCACCAGGTTGCAGGCACTAGCCAACTGATGTGGGGTTCCATTTCCGTCAGTTTGCAGCAACAGGACAATACAAACCATTTTCACTTTCAACTCGCAAAACAATAGCTATTTTAGCTATTTATTTGAACCACTCAATTTTGTGTAATATTATTGTGTTGAGAGATTCAGTCCAGATTTACAGAACTTGGGATTTCTCTCCTCAAATACCACATCTGGGAATGATGTGATATTTAAAGAAATTACATTTTGCTACAAATCTTCCAAGGAATGTTTTTTTCTCCACAAATTTTTATTCGAGGAGTACTTCCGTGTTATTTGTAACTTCTAGCACACTGGCTCTGATTACAGGGTAATTAAAACTGTTTGGAAAACCTTATGCAACTGAACTTTTAAAAACAGAGCAAAAATCCTGGTGATCCTTTGTAAAAGCAAAGTGCTTTTCTCTTATATTTCTTTTCTCTTTTTCTGTCTAAAAGATATTTACTGCTTATTTCCTAATCATGTGTTATCTCTTGGCTATTGCCTCTTGAATAAGCTAAATTTACTTATGATATCTATTCATAAAAACTTCCCTCTGACACACAGGGGGGAAACCTGATGCTCATGGCCTTTCATCAGTTTTTAGAGAGTTTTCATCCAGTGATTGATTATCTTATTTTATATGAATACTGGTTCTTGTTGCCTAAGAAATAACATTTGATCTGGCTTATACAGTGAAATCAATTTGTGTTATTTGCTCTTTGTAGTGGGCTCTGTGTGTCTTTAAATATTCCTATGTGCTTGTAGTGTATCTTACATAGAATCAAGGGCAGGAATGCAGGTAAACATTTGTTTAGAGTTTTTTCACAATCAAATGTAAAATCAGGCTTTTTGGACTATTTGGAAAGAGCATGAGAACAAAATAAATGACATAAACATTTTTTCTGTACTAATTTATTTCATTTTGTAGTGGTCGTACAGAATACTGCATCTGTTAACTTTCGGTAGGTGGGAGAGGAGGACTGAAATATGTATCTTTGATATGACAGAAAGTAGTCAGACTTTTTTTTTTTAATTTAGGATTTTGTAATCATCTAGGGTCTTTATTTTTATCCTTAGCATGTGAAAATTTATTTTTAAAGTTGTAAATAAAACACAGTTGTTGCCTGTAATATCTTATCTGCTTTTGTCCTTCCTTTTTTATGAGTTTATTCAAATATTACATTAAAGCCAAATGACGTGGAATTAGGTTTAAAATTTTCCCCTCATAATAAGCTGTGTCAATGGTAATTGCATTGTATTGCTGTTTTAAGTTTTCTGTTGTAGCCATGGAAGAACTTCTCCGTTTTTGTCATAAATCCTTTTTTTAAAAAAAAAGCCAAAAAAGAATGTTTATTCAGTTATTCCAAAGAACTTTGAAATGTTTATCATTCCATTAAAACAATATTCTATAAAAATATTTTAAAGGAAAGAATATGTCTTCTTTATAACTAATTTAACCTTCAGTAATGAATTATGTGAAGTAAAATTGTATAAAATTTTCTGACATTTTATGAAGATTCCTACAAATAAGCCAGACAGCAAATAAAATATCTGCAAGACAGAGATGGATACTCTGTAATTTTTTGATGGATTGTACACACAGGTATCAAATTACTTGATCCTTACTTCCTAGAAAAGGTTAATGACTCTTTTTGCTTTTACCCTTTTACTTAACTGTTATTTATAAAGATTAAAACAGCGACTACATTGAAGGATGCATATTCCTATGTGTCAGTATGACTGTACAGGTTTTTCTGATATTATAGGAGACTGAGCCACAAAATGGATGGCGTTGTTAATCATTATTTTTAAAGTTCATTCAATTCTGTAGTACATGTTCTGCTATGGCTATTAAATCTGAGTGCACCATTCAAAAACCTTTTAACTTAAATGAAACCAGAAAAGACTTTAAATCTTACATATCTATGTCTATATTACATATCTATGCAATTCATTTAAAATACTAAGAATTAAAAATTTTAAAGTAAAAGATCTTAAAGTTCTTACATGTGCATATTTTTTCTTTCATCTATAATCAGTTAGATTTTTAAATATTTCTGGTTTATATTGAATAAAATACACAAAAATATGTATTTTAGTGTTACCAGACTCCATCATTAATAACTGAACCATGAATAATATTACTGTCCACCTATAATGACCATCCATCTATATTCTAGTTTCATTAAAATTGTTTTTATATTATTATATAAATGACATGTTCATTGTATAGCCTATGTTTACTAGTATATGACTAAAAGTGATATTACTCTTATAGAAATACCTCTTTTTCATCACTTTGGTTTTAAAATATACACAAGTCATAAATACACTTAATTAAAGTCATTTAGGTATCAGGGCACTTTAGTTTAAAGTAGGGAATGTAACACTTTTTCCTAAAACACCTTGAAAGAAGTTTGTTGAAAGAAGAGAGCTGTGGCATTCATCAAACGCTGACCTCTTCCTGTTACAGTCATGGCCAAACTCTTGCTAATTTAACTTGAAATGCATTAATGTAACTCACCACTTTTTTGTGTGTGTTTTAGGTGTGTGGAGGTCATTGCAAAGGAAGGACAAAACCTGAAAGAGCTGTATTTGGTGTCCTGTAAAATCACAGATTATGGTATGTAAAGAGTCATTGTCCTAATTCTTTTCTAGAATTAAAAAGTTACAAAATCTTTGAAAACTTTTTAAAAGAAATCACAAGCTACTATCTCATAGAGACTATTTATCTTTATTTGTGCTAACTCTGGTCACACCAGAAGAATTTAAGAAATCATGAGACTAGGACCCAGAGTAAAATGAACACGTGTATCCGTTTGTCACCACATGCAGTCGCACACGCATGTGCATCTGTGCACACACAAACACACACACTCACGTAGGGTTAACATGTATGGTTAAAAAAGCTATACAATGAAATAAACACTAAATATTTGATATAATAAATATAACTAAAGAAGTTATTACTTGAGTTAATTTGCTTAATTTAATGTCGTGTCAAATACATTCCCTGCCGACATTCCAAATGGCACACTATTTAATGCTTTACATTTTTTAAAGCGTTGGAAACTTCCACATTTAGATATGTAGGAAGTGATGGGTATACATGTGTATGCAAGACTGTAAATTATCTTAATTTTCAATATCTCTTTAAAAGTGGAGAAAAGCAAGTTGTTTTATAAAAAAAAAAAAAGTATGAAATCATCCTGTTGGAGTAATAAAAGAAAAATAACCTAGCCTTTCCTTTTTTATTCAGCTTTATTATTTTTTTCTTATTAATTTGTGTATTTAATCTAGAGTTTTAACCAGGTATTTGGCTTTATGGGAGACTGAATTGGTTTTCTTTTCTCTTTTCTGATTTCTTAATTTGTTTGTTTAAATTTGAGACTGTGCTTTCTACCTTGAGGGAAACTAATAATTCATCAAGGTTTTTTATTGTTAACTCTGACATATGCTAATAAATGACTTCAATCTTAGGATGTCATGCTGACCATCTGTCCTGGGTGGGAGAATTTTATTTTATCAGCTCCTAAATTCAGCCTTTAGAAAAATTCTAGTACAGCTATGATAAAAAATAACATAAAAAAATATTTGACTTAAAATAATGCTAATTTCTTTTCAGAGTTTATTTTTTAGAATGGTAAATGAGTCTTATGTGGGTTTATTCATAATGTTTCTGGGTTGTTGGGTTTTTTTTTCCTGCTTATACCATGCAAAAGGAGTATTTTGATATGTTTTTCTTTTCTTGTAGTTTGTTTTCTGGTTTGGCATGTTAGATTGCCACTTAGATACAGTAATTCTAAAACCTATAACTATCTCCCTCTTTTCTAGCCCTTAGAGAATTCTCTCTGTCCAACCCAGGGCATATACTCAATACAGGTAGATTTGTTAATTAATACATTCATTCATTCCAGACTCTTTCCTTGGCATTCACGCTCCTTTACCATTAGTCTACTACCTGTCCCTCCAATCTTATTTTATATATTTCTCCCCTTTACCTATGCAGTGCCAATGTCAGATTGCTAATTGCCAGGAGAGCTACAGATTAAGTTCCTTAGAATGAACTCTTCAAGGTCCTACAGTGGAAAATGATGCTAAAATTACACTCTGTCTCAGCACATGTTAAGTTCACAAGTGCAAAGAAATATTCCAGGAGATGTGGAGAAGAGAAAAAAGCTTTGGACTTGAGATACATCTGGGACCAAGTTCAGTCTTTGTCTTTATCTTTTCTTTGGCCTTAGGGAAGTTCCTTCACATCTCTGAGGCTCAGTTTCCTCATTTGTAAAATGGGGAATTCATGTCTGATGTCATATTTATGTCCCCGGCACCATGTCTAATGATTAGCATTGGTGAATGTTGCCTTCCTACAGTAGAGGGACAGAGAAAAGATTTTATGCAAAATTCTTCTACCCTCTTTCCTCTCCTAGGTTTTGGAAGAGGTTTTTGTTGTTGTTGTTGCCATTGTGTATTGTTATTGTTTGTTGATTTTGTTTCTTGATATTATCATGTTTTGGTGTTTAGAAATTTTAGGATTTTTTTTCTCCAGGTGAGGTGAAAATGATGTTAAAACCTTGCCAATATGGTTTACATTTATTCACTTGGGTTGGTGGATCTCTGCACATTAGGGTCACCTGGGGAGTTTCTAAAGCATACTGATGCTTGAGTCTCATTCAAGGCTGATTAAGTAAGAATTTCTATGAGGTGAGACCCAGGCAAAGGTTTTGTAAAACCTGCTTAAATGATGTTACATCAACCAAAGTTGAGAACAATTGATCCAGTCCATTTGAAAGGGCCAGATATTGGACATTTAGGGGACTTCCCTGCCATGGTGATGAGAAATCTATCACAATTTTTCTGGTACCTTAGTCACTTCAGCTTTAAGCTCTCTGCCTCACCTCATCTCTCTTCCGTCTTTCCTTTGGTTTTAGCTATTCAAAGGGTTCATGGAGTCTTCGGGCGCCTGGGTGGCTCAGTTGGTTAAGCGACTGCCTTCGGCTCAGGTCGTGATCCTGGAGTCCCGGGATCGAGTCCCACATTGGGCTCCCTGCTCTGCGGGGAGCCTGCTTCTCCCTCTCCCCCTCCCCCTGCTTGTGTTCCCTCTCTCGCTGTGTCTCTCTCTGTCAAATAAATAAATAAAATCTAAAAAAAATAAAAATAAAAAAATAAAAACAAAGCGTTCATGGAAAGCCAGTTTTCATCTATTGATTCTGTTCTTCAAAATGTTGGGGCACAATTGAGGAGGGAGGGGTAAAGGTCAATAGTTTATGAGATTGTAGTATAATTGCTATTTGATTATAGAATTTAAAAAAATCACTGAAAGTTCAGCTCAGCTCAGCTCTTTTTCCCTGGTAACATGCCAATAACACATGAATAATTTTTGTCAAAAAAGACAGCAAAAAGGATTATTCATTGTAACCAGAGAAACAGCATGTTATTGGAGGTAACTGCTCTGCTGGGGGAGGCTGGCTGTGATCCCTTGCCCTGCATTAATTATAAATTTTAAGATGGAAAAACAGATGCCTGTTTTCTTCTTTAACTGGATAAGTAGAGATAGATTCTGTAGAACTTTTAGATTATTGAAGCTACTTAAAAACTGTAAGATTTGATGTACACCTGATCCTGGGGGAGTTTCATCCTTTAAGAGACTACTCCATAATTCTGTTTCCTGTTGCTTCACTCATATTCGCGCTAGTCTCATCCTCACCTCCTCCCTCTGTGGTGCTGTGTTTGTACATGCTTTCATTATAGTATATGGAGATTTTTGAAGTTTTTTGCAGAATGCATAGATTCAGAAAGAGCAGCTCGCCTGGCATATCATTTGTAATTTTTGTGAAGATTCTCACAGATGTTGAATGTGGTATCATAGTACTTAGCAACACCTGGCCAGGCTGTTAGGAAGTTATGTTCATTTTAATTGATATATGATATAGTTGTCATGAAGAAAACTATCATTCTAATAGGCTTCTTATTCCTCAAATTGAACATAGATCTTTATGGTAAAAGATGGCAATTATAAGCAAATCAATAATTCAGGCACAGCTAAATGGAAAATACATTCTTGGGAAATTGCTCCCTGAAGAGAAATCTAATATCGTCACTCTTCTATCACTGAACAAATATATGTTACATAGGCAGTATTGTGGGAAAAAACTCAAATTTAGGAGTCAGAGGTTTAGGTTAGAATCCAGCTTTGCCTCTTCTTTTCTTTATGACCTTGAGCAAGTTACTTAACCTCCTAGTTTTGTCATCTGTTAAGCACATAATAAAATGTACCATAAAAGGTAGTGAATATGAATTTAAAACGTCTGTGTCATGCCTCTTGGCATAGTGGGTACTCATTAATTGGCAGTTCTTAAAATAATAGAAACCTCTCTTTCTCTTAAAAAGAATCAGTTCTCCTTCCCCTCTTCTCCCCTCCTCCTCTGCCCCCCCCCCCC